AAGTGTTGGCTACAGGGGAAGTCAGCACAACTGGACTAAACCAGTTTTACATTCCTGGGAATGTAAAATGGTACAGCCACTTTGGAAAACAGTCTGGCAGTTTCTCAAATGGTTAAACACAGAGTTATGTATAACCCAGAAATTTCACTCCTAGGCATATATAGACCAAAGAGAATTCAAAACATATGTTCAAACAAAAACTTGTACACATATGGTCATAGCAGTGTCATTTATAATAGCCAAAATAGTGGAAACAGCTCAGATGCCCATCACCTGGTGAATGGATAAGCAAAATATTGTATATCCATATAATGGTTTATTATTCAGTAATAAAAAGGAATGAAGTGCTGTCTTAGTCATCTAGTGCTGCTATAACAGAAATACCACAAGGATGGCTTTAACAAAGAGAAATTTATTCTCTCACAGGCTAGGAGGCTAGAAGTCCAAATTCAGGGCGTCAGCTCCAGGGGAAGGCTTTCTCTGTCTGTCGGCTCTGGCAGAAGGCCCTCATTGTTATCAGTCTTCCCCCGGACTAGGAGCTTCTCTGCGCAGGAACCTCGGGTCCAAAGGACGCACTCTACTCCTGGTGCTTCTTTCTTGATTGTATGAGGTCCCCAACTCTCTGCTTGCTTCCCTTTCCTTTCATCTCTTGAGGGAAACTCCCTTTACATTGGATTAGGGATGTGACCTGGGTAAGGGTGGTGGTACAATCCCGCCCTAATCCTCTTTGATATAAAATTACAACCACAAAATGGAGGACAACCACAGAATACTGGGAATCATGACCTAGCCAAATTGATACACATGTATTTGGGAGGATGTAATTCAATCCATGACAAGTGCTAATACATGCTATTACATGGATGAACCTCAAAAACATTATACTTAGTGAAAGAAGCCAGTCACAAAAGGCCACATGTTGTATGACTCCATTTATACGAAATGTCCACAGCAGGCAAATCCATAGCAACAAGGTAGATCAGTGGTTACTGTGGACTGGGGAGGGGGCAGATAGGGGCTGCTTAAGGGTATGGAGTTTCTTTTTGGGGTGATGAAAATGTTCTGAAATTATATGGTGGCGATGGTTGCACAACTCTGGAAATATGCTAAAAACCACTGAATTGTATTTTATGTAAAGGATGTGAATTTTATCTCAATAAAGCTGTTATAAAAAAAATCCTCTGCCACAAGGCACTGTATCCCTTATGACCCTTTCTACTTGACACAGGCAATTACTGTGTGGAGTTGTTAATTTGATATTACCCTATTCATGTAATTCTTGTTTGAGGATTTTCTTTAGCATGCAGACTTTTCATGGGCACAAAGTTTGTTTTTAGATATTGACAATATAGCTGACATAAACAGCACAGTATAGGGGAATGGGGAAGGGTCTAGCTAGGAGGCAAGAGACCTGAGTTATAATCCCAGCTCTGCCACTGAGTAATTTTGTGGCCTCAGACATATCTGATCTCTAAAATGAGAAAGTCGGCGAAGTGATTTGCAAGCTCCTCTGTGCATCTCAGAGTTTTCTTTGACGCTTTTTAATGCCAGTGCCAGACACCAAATGCTACCTTTGCCTGTCAGGCTGCAATCTTTAGCTTGTGCTTGGACATAATTCAGTATCAACAGAACTGCAACCTCTGAAAAGTTCTACTAGAACCTAGGTGGCAAAATTCATTGCCCATAGCTGCTGACTCACATTCAGCAGATATACATCTAGACTCAGAAGACCCAGGTGAGGTGAGCCATTCTCACAGCTCTGCCAATGAACCCATGCTTTCTCCCTAGTTACCTTATTCCAAGTGTTAAAAAAATCCATCACCACCGAGTGGTTTATAATGTGCTTTCAGAAGATTTCAGGTGATAATTGCAAACACTCCAAGCCTCTGGGGCCTTTAACCCATTGCCGTTGAAACGATTCCAACCCATGGTGACCCTCGTGTGTTACAGAGTAGAACTGCTCC